CGTGACTAATATATCCAAAGCCTTCCCCTTTACTCCACTCCTTTAGCCACATATTGAATTGTGCTATACGCTGGCCTTTTCCATTTTGGTCCTTATACACTGGTAAGACCTCTGAAAAAATAAGCCTACAGCCTATTCTGCTAAGTTCCTGCCCCAGGCTCTGGAAGTCATTCTGCACAGTGAGTACATCTTTTTGGGATCACATGACCCTAGGGCAGGGGTGTCAAACTGCCAGCCCACGGCCCGGTTGCATCATGCGGAGGCTGCGCCCACACCAGCTCCGGCAATGCAAAAAAAGTCACGATACGTCACGACACATCACGTGACGTGGCAGGTTTGACACCTGTGCCCTAGGGCATTGCAACCATCAAAAATATGAACCAAGCCAAGCATCTGAATGTTGGTCAAATGACCATGGGGATCTGCAACAATCATAACTGTGAAAAACAGCCATAAGTCATTTTTTTCAAAGCCATAAGTTTGAATGGTCATTAAACAAATGGTTGGACTACCTGTAAATCTATTGAAAGACAAATAAAAGATTTTTAATGTTTTATATATATATATATGTTTCTATTCTATTCTAAGTTGCCAGAGTCATTGGAACACAAATAGAATAGAATAGAATAGAATAGAATAGAATAGAATAGAATAGAATAGAATAGAATAGAATAGAATAGAATAGAATAGAATATAGAATATAGAATAGAATAGAATAGAATAGAATAGAATAGAATAGAATAGAATAGAATAGAATAGAATAGAATAGAATAGAATAGAATAGAATAGAATACCGGTAGAAATACTTCATTTGGCCAAGTGTGATTAGACACATAAAGAATTTGTCCCTGTTACATAAACTATCAGTATACAGTATTGCAAAACAATAAAGTAATAATAATAATCATAATAATGATACAGTGGGCAGTATATTACATACATACATACATACATACATACATACATACATACATACATACATACCTGTGTTTCCCCGAGAATAAGACAGGGTCCTTTTTTGTTTGTTTGTTTGCCTTCAAAAGAGGCACCAGGTCTTATTTTCAGGGGATGTCTTTTATACTCACCTCTGGCACTGACAGCCCCGTCCAGCAGGTCCACTTCTTCTGAGACCGAAGGAGCAGCTTCATTCTGCAGCTGCATTCCGGCCTGCATTTCACAGTCAGGCCTTTCCGAAAGGTTTCTGCAGCTGAGTACCGAGTTATGGATTCAATCCATAGCTCGGTCCTCGGCTGCAGAGGTCTTGCAGAACCAAGCTATGGATTGAACCCATAGCTCAGGTTCTCGGCTTCAGTGACCTTCCGGAAAGATCTATGGCTGAGAAATGCAGACCTGGCTGCAAAAGACGCCGGAGAAGAAGTGGGCCGGTGAGGAGAGGACTGGTTGCAGTGTAAGTGGGTGGGTGTGGCGCATGGGGCAGATCCACACCCCTACCCCCGCCCTAGCTTGATTTTTAAGTATGTGCTTCGCCCCCAAACTAGGGCTTATTTTGGAGTAGGGCTTGCTTTTGGGGAAACGTGATACATACATACAAGATAGATTCCACACAGAAATAGTAAAAGAGCTTAATATCTAAAGCTACTTTCAGATCTTGCTTTTATCATTCAACCTGATGACATATTTAATATGCATCCTTCCAGAGATGGGCAGGAAGCACAGAACCATAGGGTTGAAATGGATATTTTGTGGTTTTCTAAGTCCAGACTAAAGTCTATTCTTAACAGGACTTTTTTCATCTCAGAACATTGTCTGTGCAATCTTTAACAACTCAAGGAGGATTGCTATTCCACTTAGTTTGTATTTGAATTCAAGCTTAGGGTTTTTGTTTTTTTTTTAATTTTCTAACCCAACCTGTGGACCATAAGATTAATTCAATTTCAAAAGTTTGCAGGAGAAGTCTCCAATGAATAAAAAGTAAATAACTATAGGAATATAATCATTAAAATAATAAAATTCTGATCTGGAATACCAAAATGCATTTTCTATTCTAGAAGATCTGCTTCCAGAATATATTTATAAAATGGTTGGATCGCTGCAATCTGAAAGGAAAACAGAATATTCTGATCTTCCCTAGAACATTCTGTCTCCAGTTTTACACATGGATATGGAAACACTTTTGTTCAACATGTATATGGAATTGCTGGATGGGGTTTTTAGTCGTTTTGTGGTTCAGTGTCATCAGCATGCTGCCCGGAGTTCCCCTTGTGAAGTAGACAGGTGGTTTCTAAATTTACTAAGGAAGTACATACAAAAATATAATATACCCATCTGTAACTTTCAACCCCAGGCCAGTCAAGCAAAGGTGTTGAGAGGTGCCTGAGGTAATGCAAGTCAGGATGGTAAGAAACTCAAAAATAAGACCGGGTCCTTTTTTTTTTTTTTTTGCCTCCAAAAGAGGCACCAGGTCTTATTTTCGGGGTAGGCTTTACCTCACCTCCGGCACCGACAACCCCACCCAGCCGGTCTACTTCTTCTGGGGCCGAAGTTCTGCAGATGCATTCGGGCCTGCATTTTGCAGTCAGGCCTTTCCAGAAGGCCTAAGCAGCCATAGCTCGGTTCTTGGCTACACAGGCCTTCTGGAAAGCCATGTGACTGAGAAATGCAGGCCTGGCTGCAGAAGAGGCCTCAGAAGAAGAAGTGGTCCAGTGAGGAGAGGCCTGGCTGCAAGATAAGTGGGTGCGGGGCAGGTGAGGCAGCTCCACCCCCCCACCCCACCCTAGCTTAATTTTTAGGTTTGTGCCTCGCCCTAAAACTAGGGCTTATTTTTGGGATAGGGCTTATATTAGGCCCACCCCCAAAAATCAAGCTAGGGCTTATTGTTGGTGTAGGCCTTACTTTTGGGAAAACACGGTAGTAGGAAACCTGGGCAGGTTGATTATTTTTTTGTTTTTTGTTGATGAACATTTTCTCTTTTGCTTCTCTTTTTAGAAAAGAGGTCTATGCAAAGGCTCTGTGATAATCAGTGAGATAGAAAAAAAGAAATTTGTCACTGTAAAATGTGATTTCTTCCCACCTCCGGTAAGTTCCTCAGTCATCGATCGTCTGCAGAAAACATTCATTCATTCAATTGTTGTGGAACAATTTATTTTTAAAACTCATTGACTGGCTGTATTAAGCAGATAGAGGAAGATCTGCTTAACATGGTTATTGTCTATGGAAATTCTCAGTCATCTAGGTTATGATTGTCCCAAAGGTGCTTTTTCAGGAGGCAATTGGGCTTTCTTGTTTTTCTTTGAAGACGTTTCGCTTCTCATCCAAGAAACTTCTTCAGCTCTGACTGGATGTTGGGGAATGGAAGGATTTATACTCCTTGCAGACAGCTGGTCATTTGCATTCTTTTAGAGAGTCGTTGAGGCCACTTGGAGGTTTATCTGTGTCCTCCGGGTCACCTGAGTAGTGCAAATGTGTGTGGACCCTTCTTGGCTGCAGGATATTTTCTGCCCTGTGTCCCTTCAATGTTGAAGACAGGGGCAGGCTGCTGGGGATGAGTCTGTGTTGTCTGCATCTCAAACTGAAGCACAAATGGTTTCTGTAGTCTGCAACATTTTCTGGAAATCCGTTCATACTGCCGCACCATTTGAAGGGTGTTCATCCCAAAGTGCATAGCTAAATGTCTGTGGAGATTCTCAGTTGTCCCAAAGGTGCTTTTTCAGGAGGCAACTGGACTTTCTTGTTTTTCTTTGAAGATGTTTTGCTTCTCATCCAAGAAGTTTCTTCAGCTCTGACTGAATGGTGGGGAATGGAAGGATTTATATTCCTTGCAGACAGCTGGTCTATAGTCCAGATATGACCAACCCCCTAAGCCACTTTTTTGTATCTTTTGTCTTATTAGCCACCATTTATAGATGGCCAGATTCCACAATCCAAGGACAGACCTGGGCAGGAGGAACGTCAGGATGATAGTGAAAGACACAGAGATCACCACGAACAGAGTGGACACCATCATCACCACTCCCAGCCCCACCACCACAAACAACATGAACAGAACCAGGAACACCAGGAGCCAAACCATCCTCACCCCTCAGAAATACCACAAATGCCAAAGAAACCAGTGGGGCAGGTGATCTACTATCCTCCTTCGAGCAAACTGGAAGTGCAGGAGCCCAACCCAGCCTCTAACCCCAGGCTCGCTTCTCCAGAACAGGATGCCCCTACTCACTCAGCCAGGCCAGCTGGGCCAACCATTCCTCCCTTCCCCAGAGAGTTTTCCCAATCAGCCCAATGTCCAGGAGACATTTTAATACAGGTCGGTGGCCTTGAACTGCCTTCACGGCCACAGGCTGAAACCGCCCAAACAAAAAGTGATGTATAACACTGAAAGCTTAATTCAGAGAAAACAGAGCAAAACCATCTGGATGAGCAGGGGGAAAAAAAGAAGGAAAAGCTCTTTCATTACCAAAAAGTATCTAGAAATGTGGGTGTAGACAGTACTAATATATGTGAGCATATTAGAAAATCCTTCTGATGTGAAAATAAATAAAACTTGGCAATTAAGCTCCCTTAATTCCTGTGCCGATTGGTTTAAGTTAGACATAACAGTGAAAGCCAAATGATTATTCATACATTCTGCTATATTTCTATAATTATGGAATTGGATTTCAGAGAGAGAGAGAGACAAAGAGTTCAGAATCAAATTTTTTTTTTGAATCAGGACTCATTAAAACTGGAATTCTTCCTGAAAACTCATTCCTGTAGATCTTTTTGCAGAGCAAATATTGTATTTTTTTTCCATAGAAGTTGCACGATGGAAAGGAATAAGTGGCAGCAAACATTGCAATTGGCACATCTGAAAGGCTTTTCAAACATTCCTGCAAAACATTTAAGCCACTTTTGTGACATTTTGTGCATTTAAAAGGGATCACATATAAAGCTCAACAAATTTTGTGGCATTTATAGATTTTTATTGCCAACAGAAGACAATCTTCTCATTTGTTCAAAGACAATCATAATAAGGGCTTTCCTTCCTTCCTTCCTTCCTTCCTTCCTTCCTTCATTCATTCATTCATTCATTCATTCCTTCATTCCTTCCCTCCTTCCTTCCTCACTCTATGAAAATTTAAACTTTGGGATCTTCTGCACCAATGCAATTTCATTCATTCATTGAATAGATATTGCTCTATCATAGACATCCTCAGGATCTCATACAATAATATAAGAATATATAAGGAGAAAAAAAAACATACACCTCCATGGATCCACTGAACTTCTCATAGGAGGCCATTTTCAAGGGCCATCCCAATGACCAAAAAACAAGGTCCTTGGGCTTCAGTCTGCCTGACCTCCCAAGAATATTCTCCTAGCTCAATCAAAGCAGTTGGGAGAAAGGCAGTCTGCAGCCAACCCCATCCCAAGCCCAAAGCAGTTTCTCACGACACCAGGTTGCGATGGAGAGGTGTTAAGGAAGGATGCCAGGCCCAAAGGCAACCAGTGGCTTTCCCCAGTTCAGGTCCAACACCACTAAGTGCACAATATTAGGCTCATGATGTGCTGCTAAGCTGGGAACATAGAGAACGCATAAGCAAAAGACAGTGGGAAGACAAAGGCACCATCCAGGTCAGCTTCCCAAGAAGGCCCAAAAGGAAATAAGACCATATCAGCTTATTCTTCTTCAACGTATGCTACATTAGATAATCTTGAAAGTCTGAAACTACAAATCTCCCACCATCTATTTTTACCATGTGATAAGCTAGGACAGATCCTTTCTAAGTTTCTTTCTCTACCTGGTAGTCAGCTGGGGGTTCCTCCCCTTTCATCTGATTCTTCCTTAGGCAACATTTCTTCCCTTCACCTCTTAAAGTCATCCCCACATAACATTACATCCAGGCACTCTTTTCTGGCTCCCACTTGCAAGGTCTTCCCCCAGCATGGCTTGCTTCTCCTCCGAAGTACCAGCTTCCCTGGCATTGGCTTCTCCTCCATGATGGCACCACGCAAACCAACACTACAGGGGAGAAGCAATGCCAATTCTGTGCCATCGTGCGCTACAAGGAAGAAGGCCTTTTCTTCTCACAAAGCCATAGTAAGACCACACTTGGAATACTGTATCTAGTTCTGCCCACCCACAACATAAAAAAGATGTTGAGACTAAGGAAAGAGTGCAAAAAAGAGCAACAAAGATGATTAGGGGGGCTACAGCAGGGCTTTTTAACCAGTGATAAGGGTACCACCTGTGGTACATTGGCACATGGCAGATGGTACGTGACCATCCTAGAAAAGTGGTAGCGGGGGAGGGGAATGAGCTGAACCGGTGGCAGCACCGCACAAGAGATAGCTGAAGCTGCAGGGCTGTCAGGGCTCAGCGGAAGCGCCAGGATCAGCGCTTTTTTGGGACTGTCAGGGCCCAGTGGAAGTGCCAGGATCAGTGCCAGGCTCCAGCTGGAGCTCAGTGCTAATCCTGGCGCTTCTGCTGAGCTCAGAAGAAGCGCCGATCAGCTGGAATGTTGCAGCATCTCCAGGGTCTTGTGATTTACATTCAGATGCTTGGCAACTGATTCATATTTATGACAGTCACAGTGTCCCAGGGTCATGTGAAGTGACCAAAACCTGCTGCAACTACCCAGCAGACGGGGGGAATAAAAATCAAACACCCCTCACCCCACCCCCACTGCCAATCCTCAATAGAAATGCCCACAATGAAAACCTCGGACAGGAGGAAGAGCGAACTGTTGTAAGTTGAGGACTACCTGTACTTTATCCCTTTTTCCTTTCTTTTTTTTTTTGGGGGGGGGGGTCATCAGGTTTTTGACACCTTGATAGGCGACTGGTGGTACTCGGATATTGCCATATCCTAAAAGTGGTACAATGGGTGAAAAGGTTGAAAAGCCCTGACAGACTGTAAGGACCTTGCTTCATCTAGGCCTCCCAAGAAAGCAGAACTCTCAAAACAGGCATTGTCTCAAAAGGAACTTTAATTAGGAGTTAGTGACAGCAAGGAATCAAAGCGAGGTCTGGGGAAAAAAATCCCGCGCAAGCAGTATATCAAAACCAATATTCGTTAGTCCTCCCCCCAGGGTCCCACTGTCCATTTGAATCTCAGCCAATCCACCGGTGGCATATTGTTTTCATAACTGGCTCTTTCGGCGCGCTCTTCAAGATCTCTCTCGGTTTCGTTTCCCTCTGTTTCCAAGTGCAAACCTGGGGGGAGGGCAGAGTATCAAGGCAGTGCAAGGCATCCCCCAAAGCATCCCCCCTCCCAACAGAGTGGCAAGCCCCAAATAAATGGTTATAAAAGCATGTATAGGATAGAAAGGAAAGTAATACATTTTCTTTGGGGATCTGACACAGACTTCAGGAACATTTATATAATACAGGGGTCTTCAAACATGGCCCTTTTATGACTTATGGACTTCAACTCCCAGAATTCCTCAGCCAGGCACGCGTGCCTGGCTGAGGAATTCTGGGAGTTGAAGTCCACAAGTCATAAAAGGGCCAAGTTTGAAGACCCCTGATATAATACAAATGGAGCTTTCCTTGGTAGGGCTGCTCTTACTCTACCCTGAAGGAGAGCTACCTTAGCTTGGAAGCTTTCTGAACACTATTAGAGGTCCTGAAAAGATTCCTTAGTCTTGCAAAAGAGCCCTGCTGGGCCAGGCCAAAGCCATTCTCGGAGCCACCAGCAGCCAAGCCCATTGAAAGCCATTCAAATCAGTCGCATCATCATGACTTGTGGTTTTGAATTCCACAGTGTTTAATTCTGCAGTGTTGCACAAGCCCAAAGCCTGGGATTTCAATAAGGTCACCTCTTACTTCAAATAGTTGACAAAATAGGTAACATTATGCTGAAGAACATCCTTGGAGGCTTTGCTCCAAGATACTATGCCTCAGCTGGAAAGCTAACAGTCCGGGTTCAAGACCCCAGCTCCATGCAATGGGGTAAGCTCCCATTACTTGCCTCAAGCTCCTGCCCACCTAGCAGCTTGAAAGCATGCAAATCCAAGTGGATTATAAGTAGTTCTCGACTTATAACAGTTTGTTTAGTGGAGGGTGAGAGACAGGTACCTTGGCCTATACCAGTGGTG